GGAGGGACCCCGACATGCCGTGGGGTGAGGGTGGGGGAGAGCCCCAAAACCTACTGTAGGTGTCCGACTCGTCCAGGATCTCCGACTTGATGATCTCCTCGATGACGTCCTCCAGCGTCACCAACCCCAGCACCTCGTAGAAGGGATCTCCTTCCCCTTCGTTGTTCACCTTCTGCACGATGGCCAGGTGGGACTTCCCTGCGGACAGACACACGGACGTTGGAAAGGGGAGACCCCCCCAAACCCCCACCCTGGGGTACCCCCAGCCTCCCCACCGTGTCCCCGTACCCAGAGATGTCACCATCCTGAGATGTCACCACCCTGAGATGTCACCAGGACCAGCCCTTCCCTCCCCCTTGAACAGGAAACAATAAACGGGTGAAAAATCTTAACGAGCCCCTGGGCTGGGCACTAATTCCCAGCGTAATGACAGTAATTAAGCCCAGGAGAGTGGCGCCTGCCAGGCTCATGGCACCTCCCTGTCACCTCAGGTGGGGGTGACAAGAGCTGGGACGTGTCCCCAGAGGATCTGGGGTGAGTGGCCGTGGGGTGACGACACCCCGACACCGGGGACGCAGCCAGGAATTTGGGGGGGTCCCACCCGTGTCCTTGTCCCTCCCCGAATGTCCCATCCCAGAGGAAGGGACACCGTGTCCCACCACCCCATCCCAGAGCCCAAATATCCCCAAATTCCTGCTTCCTCTCATCAAAAAGGATGCTTTTTGCCCAATTCTGGCTAAATTCGAAGCGCCGGTTGGCGGCCAAGCTCCTGCCCCGGCTGCCGGGTGCTCGCCGAGCCTTCCCCCCCTCCCTGTGCTCTTCCTCCTCTTTTATCCCAAAATCACACCGGGGAAAAACTTCCTGGGATGAGGAACATCCCCTTCTGCTGCAGGGAGGGAGAGGAGCCGAGCCTGGAGAAGCCCAGGGTGCCCCTTTGGACCCGGGACCCTCAGCCTGGGGAAACTGAGGCAGGGAAAAAGACCACTTTTCCCTCCCTGACCCCAAAATAAGGTGCCCCGTTTGAAACCCCCCTCCAGCCCCGGCCCAAATCCTCCCTCCCCGGCGTTATCCACTTATTTAATTTTAGAGCCGCAGGCCCCTTGTCGCTCAGGGAAAAGCTAATTTTAGGGACGGGCACTGGGCGAGCTCCCCTTTGTCTCCTTCTTCAGCCCAACCCCGGGGAGAAGGAGTGGGGGGGGGGGGGTGGGAAAAAAGCCCCTAAAAGC